AATAAACCATCTTAGGATGCAAGCTTATTTAAATGATTATAAAGGTACTTAGCACTTATGCTCAGAATTACCAAATGAACACTTATTTTGCTTAAGGCACAGTGCACAGCTAATTTAATATTCAAAATAATAAATAGAGAAATAAAACAAACCTGGGCCATTTAAATACTGTGTAAGTGAACAGTGCAGTCGAACAATTATAGGTTCTGTTCGAATTACTTCCCAAGCCACAGCAATCTCCTCCTGTGCAAATATATTTAAAAGATGAATTAGTCATTTCTAGAGTTCAAAATTTAAAAAAACTTTAAAAACTTATGTTAAAAAAACGCTTAAATTATGAAGGCCTATAAATGATCCCCAAACCCACTGTTGTGTGAAATGAAGGCCAAAGTACTCTTAATTTTCACCTTCTACATGTGAAAACTAAAACTGAACTTAAGATATAATGAAGTACTGTGAGAGCCCATAAATTTAAGAATATATTTAAAGAATCAAGGCAAAAGAAAAAATATACACAATCTCTGTGTCTTTGACAAGTCACAGTATTTCTTCCCAAATCACTTTAATAGTCAATATATAATAGTATTATAAGATAACCAAAACCTAAATTTCTCTCTATAATAAAAATATGTATCTTACATGTACCAGTCATATTGTATGTTAATATACTTACATCAAGAAAACTAACATCAATATGTAGATCAATATCTACATCATCAATGGCTCCATATTCCCTGAAAGCAAAGATTAAGATTAATTTTTTCATGTCCTTAAAAATGGCAGGTGCTAGTATATTTTAATTAAAAATTAAATCACTAATTATTATCCCTGATTTCCACAGATAGCTCAGATCTGACGGTGGACATAAATTAACTAACTCAATCTAGTTGGATTGTCATTTTCTGTGACCCCATTTATGCCATGTAGACATCTTTCTATCTTTATGTATATGCATATGTTTGTTCTCTGTGGCAAATGAGTCAATCTTCCCACGTCCCTGCTCTGTTTTCATTATACTCTCTGAGGAGGAAGAGCTGCTTCTAAGGGCAAGAAAGGAGTTTCTGACATGAGGAAGGAGTGTGGGAGGGACACACAACAATATGTCCATGAATTTTCCTTCCAATTTACGCATTAGTGGTTCTCAAACTGGATGTCAGAGAACCTGACATCCAGATACTCTGCCACTTCCATGTCACTGAGTTTTGATAGGCAGCTCTAAAAGTCTGATATATCAAAATTAAAACAAGTAACTATAGTATGTTCCACATGAAGGAATTAGGAAGAACAACTTTGAGTACAGCTCAGGTAGTGCCATGAACCAGCACA